AGTCCAACAGAGTATTAAAAGAAAAGAAATATCAACATGGAGAAGCCTGAAAAGAGACTGTCCTCCTCCATGAATATATGAGTCAGACATGAACTAGCTAGCATATGCTAATAACAGCTTTATTTTATAACTTTATGCAGTACAATTTTCTTCAGTCCTAATGGCAGATTCTTAAAGGAATCCAGAAGTCAGTGGTGTCACTCTGGATTTACACATGTATATGTAACCGGATAATCTGGCCACTATTTATTCAATGCACAAAAAAAAAGTATTAAAATACAAAGAAACAACACATCCAGAATCCCAATAAAAAGTAAAAATCAAAGTTTACTTTAATGTAGAACTATAGCAAAAAAGGTTGAAGAAGCCAAAAAAATACACATTGCAAATGTTGTATTACTCCAGCAAAACACAGAGGGAAATGCACTAACTTTAAAAGTCCTTTTGGATAGGATTTGTTCATGTGCCCCTCAAGTCAACAGGGTACTGCTGTAGTTCATATTGTAAGTTCTGTAACAAAGACACCTCTCTTTCATTACATTTACCATGAAATCAACGGTCTACTGAGGTCAAGATAAATGTTGTCACTGATTTCAATGGGGTCAGGAATTCACCTTGTATAACTTTAGTTGGCGCTTTACTTTGAGAAAAATATTTAGACCCTAATCCTTGACTCCATACAATGAACGTTTTGCCTGCCTGAGGACTGAAAAATAGAATCTACGCACTGGATGTTTTGGTGTGCTTTATACCTCACTGTACATACTGGGGCCTATCCATTGACTTCACATGGGACCGGAGGCATCCCAAGACACACAACTATCAGACAATTCACTTTAAAGGACTTATTCCTAAAATAAAACTCATTCAATGTTTTGTTGAAATTGCAAGGCACAGAGATTTAATAGTGGGAGAAATACATAACAGTTGGAACATACCTTTTGAATCCTGCCACACATCTCCTCATTCCTTGGAGGGAGCTGCTGGAAGGGAGTCACTCTTCTCCACTGAACTTGGGACTTTAATGAGTATTGCTTTGGTTTGTTTCAAGGGAAGCTATTGACAAGCAAAACAAAGTGCCTCACAAGACACTAGAGAGAGAGATAAAATTGGGCTGACATAAAAACAAAATATATGAATTTTTTTAAAAAGGAAAGAAAAATAGAGGTGAGGTATTTTTCCTTTTCATTTCTTCCGTGATTCACTTCCTCTGGCCATTTTCTTTGCAGAGTCTGTGACTTGCCATTTATATTCCATCCCTGTGCTTGGAAATTGTTCTCCAGGAGGTGAAAGGTGAAAGGGAAAAAAAAATCAGAATGAAGTGAAGACAAGATGAAGAGGTGCAGGGAGGAGTACATCTAATGAGTATAATGGTGTCCAAAGGAAGGATGGAAACATGTTCCCTAATGGCATGGTCTTCATTGGAACTGCTTGTGTTCTCAAGCTGTTAAAAGTGGAAGTAGCAGGAGTACAAGAGGGGAGTCACAAACTCCACGTGCTACATAAGTGCAAATTCTCACATTGCAGAAGCCATCACACCAAGGATTTCCTTGCCATCTGATCCAATCTGCCCACAGTGGTTTCTCTAAAAACAGTACTGTAATCAAGTAATGTCCTTTGCTTTTTGTTTTTTTGATTTTTTACTTAAAAAGTCTTTTTCCTAATAATATATAGAATATATAAATAAAAATAATTAAAAAAAAAATATTTGGGTTCTGCTCTCCAACCCATCTGCATGTTTGCGGTTCACCAATATATATTATAAGATGAGAAAATCAACTCTGCTCATTATTTAAAAAAAAAACCAACCAAAAACATAGCAAATCCACGTTTCAGGTTTCCAGAAAGAAAAAGACAAGGGGCAGGGAGGGAGTGGGGAACAAATTAAAATGAAAAAATAAAAAGATAATCAAAACCTTCTGTTTCTTCAAAGTAGTTGTCTATGGTTTGATACGTTTGTGCTTTCAGTGTACACACCCAGAGGGGGGAAAAAAAGTAGCAATAATAATCAGAGTAGTAGAAAGGACAGCAAATTGCTCAGAGTTTGTATGTTGGTTTGGTTAATTTAGCAGCTGCCCTTTTTATCTGCTGAGGGAGAGCTGCTGCCACGGCCACCTCCGCGGCTTGAGAGAGGCTCTTCTGCATCGTCCTCGTCAAAGCCGTGAAAGGTCGAGGTGTCGCTTTCTGACGTGGAACCGAACAAGTCCTCCGTAGTGCGTACTGGCGCTGCTTCCTCCTTCCTGCTTTCTCTTCCCAAATGAGCTGACATGTATGATGAATATATCAGCACATGCGTTAAGCAACAGGCATCATAATTATTTTTTATCACTATTATTAAACAACTCAAACTATTAATCTTGTAGGTACGTGCATGCGTGCACCTTAACAACATAGCACAGTAGAATAGCAGTAAGAGAGAAGTAAAAAGGATTGGTTTCTCTTTTAAAGAAAAAAGAGGATCTACAATAATAACACAGATGCCCGTGGCTATGGCAGCGAAAGGGTTAATGATAGTTTCCTCTCTTCAAAATACCTTAAAAATATTTTTTCTTGATTACTCTGATCAATTTATAGAAGATTCTTAGACCATATAAATAATTAGAAGCTGTTAGCTCTAAGCACAATGATTGTCCTTCAGATTGGCATCAACTGTCATGAATTTACTGCTGCAGAATAACAACCCATTAGGTATGTCATCAGTCTGGCTGTGATTATTTTTTAAATTCTCATCCCTATCGCTTTCTGCCCCTGACCCTAACATGGAACAAAGAACAAAGTGAAAAACACTGTAAAGACTAAGTAATAACAAAATTAACATTTTGTATTTTTCAACCTGTATAGATTCTTAAAAAAAAGAAAACAAATCTACACAATTCAGCAGCTAAAACGGCAAAGATAAAACACCATCTCTCTTGGAGAAAACTAGAAAGTTTGAAAAAGCTTTTCGGTCCAGCTTTTCACTGTGAAGCAGGAAATCCTCAGCACAGAAATCAGTCACAACAAAAAAAACCTCTTAAAAGAAAAGTCAAATATTGACATTCTTAAAACTTTGTTTTTCCCCCTCTGTATCAAATCTTTTGGGTAATTTTGGTGCATCTCTCAGAATCCCTCGTCCAGAAAGGCAGGGAAAGGCATGCCCCTGGGAAAATGAAAGCATTGTTTTTGAAGGGGAAGGCTGGCCTATTACTCAGAAGCATCAATATGATGATGTTAAGTAACCAATGATTTGGTCCCCTTCTGCTGAAAGAAGTAACTAGATAACAAATACATTATAATGCCTAAGAAATAGGGAATCAAATCTCATTCCTCCAAAATAAAATATAATAAAATAACTGCCAATGTAAAGAACTGTTCCATAGGGATGTGATTTTACTGACTGTATAGAGAGAAGGAGCAAATAAATGTTCATGGCCCCACCTCCGATCTAAAGAAAACGGACTCTATTACCAAGAGAAGTAAAGATGGCAGCCACAAAAGAATCATTAATTTTATAAAGATATATGTGGTTGCATCTTGGCCTCTGTCACCACATGTCTATCACACAGTTGGAGATCACTTGTAAATGACATGGGTGGATGGGAATTTGTATACGAATAGTGTTTAATTGAATTGGTTTGAGGGCCTTGTTCATGCACAGATTACAGCACATTACAGCTACATGTAGACCTACTTACTCTATTACAATAAGGAAGCCAATGGACTAGAGTATCTGTGTCATGCTCTAAAGGTAAATATAAAATCATCATAACAAACACCTACACAACATAAAAATTATCATTGTGCAAGACTGAGACAATTCTGAAATGAGTAGGCTGGGAAATAACAACCAAGGCAATGGAGAAAAAAAGATTCACTTTCCAATATGCCACCGCAGCTAATGTGAGCTTCCGTGCTTTAATTACTATGAAGCAAACACAAAAGCATAAAAAGACTAGTGTTAGCAAATGCAGAGTACTTGTAGCAAAGCCTTTAGAAAACCAAGGTTTGCCATTTGTCCTCTGATGACCAATCATCATCAACTCAAGATAGCTTCAAAAGTCAGAATAACTATAGAGGACATTTGTCACTGAAGCCTAGTCCTGCTCCCATGGTATTTGATAGGAGTTTTGCTATTAATGTCAACATGAGCATAAGCAGGCCATTATTCAGTACCAGAAAACTCTACATTATACTTCGCCAAGTACCGAGCAAACACTTCCCAGAATAAAAAGCAGAAGCAGCAGCAATTTTGAAGGTTTCAAATTGCACGGCTTATTTTGTTTTCTGATTTATAATAAATGTGCCCCTACCCTCCACCCTAAGGAAATCACAATTAGAAATGTGGATTGAAGCTGGAATATACTGTCATTAGAGACCCCCATTCCCTCCCTTAGCTAAAAATAACAGCTCAGCTGGGACAAAAAACCCAATAACCCAGAAATAAAGACAACTCAGGCTGGGAAAAGACACAATTGCCTACATTTTAAAAGAGAGAGGGGAAGAAAACAGAGAAATAAAAACCTCTTTAAACAAAATTAATGATAGTCATCTTGTAAGAGGATAATTCTTGACAGCTACCCCCCATCCATACCCTGTAATTTCCTCTCTCTTTCTTTTTTGGATGAAGAAATGCATGAAATGTGTAATCAATGGAAATGCTCATCATGCAACTTTCATAAATCTTGAAAGTAATTTACATTTGTAATTATGGCATTGGAACACAGAGCCCGTCCTTTAATATTGTCATAGGATTTTCTCCCTCCATTTCAACGAGAACTAGTATGTGTATTTATCTTCACCGCAGCCAGTAGATATAACATGCGATTATATATACATCTATATATAAAAAATTCCCATTAGATTAAAAATGTGAATCCAGGACATTTGGTGTTCCGGAAAAGAAGCAAACAACAAGTAACCCCCAAACCAATTCACCTCACTTCCAAACATGATAAAAAAAATCCAAAAGGAAAGCATATACATTAATTTGTCTTAGATATTTGCAAGAATGAGTCACCTACCAGAGCGCCCACAGTCTGAGCATGACACGAGCTCCTCTGGCCGGCCACTTTTTTTGTTCATGTTGGAGCCGCCAAGGCAGAAGTCACAGTAGTTATTGGGAATGATGGCCCCATCTGGTCCTTTCTGGGCTGCAGGCAGGTTAGAAATCAAATTTACTTACAGGGCGTGCAGTATTGTACAGTTTTTTCTTTCCTCTGCTATGAAATTAATATAATGACTTTGTAGACAATACAAAACCTTCCCCAAATATTTACCATTAGGTGACAAGTGAATTCTGTAAATCCCCTTAATTTTCAGTGCACTGTGTAGCAGGGCACAGGATCTCTTCTTGAGGTCCTGTACAAAGGACAGGTCATCTGTGCTGTGATCTGATTCTCTTTATAAGAATAAGTAGTTGAGTCTCACATTCTTACAAAAATAGTCAGCTTTAACACCATGTTGATTTCTTTAAAATATTTTACCTGCTCTTGTTCTGTTATTGTAAGTAATTCTTACAAATGTTTTAACAGAAGGGACTTGAAGAGGGAAAATACTCTCTCTTTTTTTCACAACATTTATTTTGTGCTTTTAGTTGCACTTTGCCTACAGTAAGTTTCACTATTTTCTCTATCTTCTGCTTCCTCTGTCTCATCCTCCATGGGGATCTGCTGACACGGATTCCTGAGCCCAGATGGAATCTCAAATCAATGAGATCTGTGCTAATGGACACAGAGGCAGCACCTGAGCCATAGCTAGCCAGTATCCCCTGTCATTTATCTTACATAGAGCAACATAGGAGAGAAATAAAACAGGTAAAATGTAAACTTACAAAAAACAGCAAAGAGAGCAAAGAGATTGAGGGGTAGGGGTAGTACCTGAAACTGTATTCACACCTTTTAAAAAAAACTTAATGTTTCACATCGATAGTAAATATTTAATTAGATTCAATAACAGTAAATAAACAGCATCATAATCATGTGTCTCTAACTTGTATTAGGGTTAAACTACTCTTCTATTAGTGCAGACTACATAAGGCTAATGGCCTATAAATGTCTACTGTGTTTTTGCCCCCTCCAGTTCTGAAGGACATACACACAACGTACAAAAAGGCCTTTGCATTTGCAATAAAATCCCACCCCTTCAATACAGGTTACATAGGATATGTACAGATGTTTAAACTGTCTGCTGGGAAGACACTGTACAGTGCTTAGCACAAATGTACCATAATTAGAGCACCATTGAACCCAATACGCCTATTGGGTATGGAAGCTTGAAGCCTGCCTGCACCGGCCATAGCCAGGAGGTGATGGTACTCCTGGCTGCCATGCCTGCAGCTGGCAGGGCGTGGGGAATGGAGCCCCAACCACCTTGCAGACCCAGCCAGGCTCACCCACATGCCCCTATAACATGTGCCAGTTCTGTGGGCAGGGGTGTGCAAGGAATGAATTGTGGCTCTGCCCTGGGCCCAGGACCTATTCTGTTACCACCCAACGATCCCAGTGTCTCCATAGAGGTTGGCTGGGACCTGTGCAAGCTTGGCATGTGGCCAAGCAGACAGGATGGGGCCGCTTAGGGAGTTTTGGTGAGCTGCTGTGTGGGATGTGGGGATGCTAATCTGGCCTACAACAGTTCACCAAAACTCTATATGTGGCCCACAGGCTCAAATAATTGCCCACCCCTGTTCTTCATAATAGCAGCATGCAGCTCCCGGCTCAACTTTGCCACAGCCGCAGGTGGAGCAGAGGGGAATGGAGTCCCCCCAGATACCCCTGCTGGGGTTTTGGGGGAAGTTGAACCAGGCCCAGGGGGGGTGGGGAAAGGCTCTGTTCTTGCCCCTCCTGGCCCCATGGCTCCAGCCATAGCTGCATGTTGCCACTGTTAAGATGATGAGGCAGAAGAGTGTGGAGAGTAGAGCCTGTCCTACTGAACAGGCCCTTTCTGGTTCCCCCCCTCCCCCCC